CTACCACGAAGGATGAGCCCGTCTCCTTGACGACCTTGGTTCAAGAGCCTGCCACACCCAGGATATCTACTTCGTCTGCCCTGTCTTCTACTCCTACACCTTCATCAGAGACCAGCACAGAGGCCCCTTCATCTGTAAGGAGTACATCGACAGCCTCAGGAGCTTCTCCCACAACGATGGCCACAACTACATCCTCAACATCAACTCGAGATCCTACCACGACACTCGCTTCAACAACATCAACAGTCCCTACCCAGTCCACTACTCAAGCCAGCCTCGCAACATCCCAAGACACAGACACATGGCACCCCACCGCAGCCCTAATAGGGGGAACAGTGGCCGGCGCCGTAGGCCTTGTCCTTCTCGTCATCTTATTAGTATTCTGCGTCCAACGTGCCCGAAAACGAAGACATCAAACCTTTACCTTGCTACGATGGCGCAGTATACATAACAGCAAACCCGAGTCACAGAACGGTATACCCTTTAACCATTAAGTCCACCCATATCGTAGTAGCAGACTAACCTATTCCCCAGGGATCTCTCCCCGTCCACCACCAACAGCAAGAACCAGAAGAAGAGGAAGCACCTCCCCCTTACCCAAGTACACCCATCACAATCATACCAACAAGCACAAGCACAAACACAGCCATAGCCACACGCCATCCCTGCCCCCATTCACATTCCCGGACTCAACACCATCCTACCCCTACAAAAAGAACCGTGCTGCTGAACTCAGCGACACGGGCTTCTACCGTCCTCGTGCCGAGCTTCCCGCTCAATCATCTCGGGAATTGATCAATATTCCTGTCGAGAGAGGATGTCGATGGGATTGTGATGGTGGAGATGGGGCATCGGATATGATTGTCACTGCTGATGGGGCGGTGCTGAGGGCGACGATCAAGACGGTGGAGGCGGATAGTCCGTTTGCTGTTCATGATGGCGATGGGTCGAGAGATGGAGGACCGCCGGGGTATTCTGGGATTGAGTATGGGATGAGTGGAGGGTGTGGAGTGTGGGGGGATGATAGTAAGAATAAGATATGATACTGTCATTTACTCTTGGTTAATTGACCGTTATGGTAGTACTGTGGTATGCAGTGCACTAATGTATATAATGGAGGAATATAATAGTATTGGTCAGAAATGAAGGAGACAGTAATCCGAGATTCTATACACATTCAAACATAATTCTACTTTTAAACCGGACTATGTACCTCTTACTACAGAACATCTCCAAAACCTGAAGCTGATGCACAAGAAAACCCATAACATCAACCGAGCAGGAGCATAGCAACCACTTCCTACTCAAAAGCCATAACATTCCTCGTACCCTCCAACCCCTCAACCACCATCTCAACAACATCTCCATCCCTCAGATACGTCGACGGAGTCATCCCACCACCGTCTCGACGGCGTCCCAGTCACGATAACAGTACCCTTTTCCCACGTAGTCCCCTGCCCAAGAAAGCTACTAAGATGAGGCACATCGAATAGTAAGTCATTAGAATTTATACCCTGACAGCCCTCGCCGTTGACCAGCATCTTAAGACGCAATTTATAGGCTGTGCCGGGACCTACATGCGTAGAGAACTGCTGCCCAGAGGAATTCAAACAGATTTTAATCTTTTGTAAATACCTTAGGGGGCACTAAAACCGGACAAACAAGGAGCAAACTTGTCAGATCCCTTGTTGAAGCACCATTGGAGCACGCGATCCTTCTTGCCAGCGGTGACATAGCCGGCTATCCACTCGAGGGCATTTTCTTCTGAAAGTGTTTTTGCCGGTTATCATGGGCTTGTCGCTTGCATAAATCCTTTGTTCACTGCAACTGCAGAGTGTTGGTGAATATACCGATTCTCTCTTCATAATTCACGGAGTCCTGAGCAATTCAGTGAGTACTAAGGGTGTCCTCATTATACGAACTTGTCATGGATGTAGGTACCGTGCTAGATACGAACCCAAAAGATATGATATATATATATTCTCACGTTGACTCGCTGGGCGAAGGTCTCTAGGCGGCGGTGTTGGATACTGGGGATTTATTTGGTTTCTTTGATATGTTGTGGTTGAATAATGTACCTGGCAGTTTGTTTTGATGAGTTCTAGTTAACTGGTAATGGGAGGTTAACTATCGCTATATTACTAGGCATGTACAAGTAGTTACAGTGACTGTCCACATTCATGACATTTTCCTGGAAAAGAACATGATCTATTTTAAAACGCATATTAACACAACCATGAACAAAATATATAAAATCTACATAGTATGTAATCTACACCTCCAAAACACACCAACAAACCGTCCACCCTACCGTCCCCCCCAACTTCTCCATAACCCTCCTACTCGCTAAATTATCCTCCGCCGCATTCGAATGCATCCACCCATCATTCAGACCCTCATCCTCCTCAATCCCCCTCCTCATCACCTCCCTCCCCACAACCCCAGCCAACCCCAAACCCCTAACCTCCTCTTCCACATGCAACGTCGCCAAACTCCCATCCGTGCCGAGAAAGGCCCACGCAACTGGCGTCTGAGTCACATCCCCATCACCATACACCGCGCAACTCCTCAACTTTGCCAGCGTCTCCTCCGATCTGGGGATGACTGTTCTCGACCGTACAAGTCCTAGATTCTTTCGCGGGATGCAGCCATCGCTGAAGTGGAATCCGGGAGGTAAGTTCCCTCGTTCCTTGTCTTGAGGTTGATGGCAGATGACTTCCCTGGGAAGAAGGTACTTGACGTAGGCTGGCTGACTGAAGCGGTGGACTTTGATCCCCGGGATGAAATCTGCGGGTGAGGTGGCCTGCGCCAGAGAGTAGGATGTGTTGGTGTTGAGGAGGGTGGAGAAAAGGCCCGTGTGCAGGTTTCCGAATAAGAAGGCGGTCGGGGGAGGAGGGGAAAGTTGGTGGTCTTGGGGTTGGGTTTGGGTGGAAGGGGATTGGGATAGGGTGGTGAGGTAAGGGGGTAGAAGATGTTGCTTGATGTGGTGTAACAGGGAGAGGAGTTGGGTGCGTAGGAGGGGTTGGTGTTGAGGTGGGAGGGTGGTTATGGGGATTGTGCTAGTATTGCTATTGCTACCACTATCACTACCAGTGGTGTCTCCTGGGGATGATGGTTCTGGGGAGGTGCTAGTGCTAGTGGAGGGAATAGAGGCGGTGCGCTCGAGACTCGAGTACACCATGACTTGATTCTCGCGGCCAGCGTTAAGGTCAACGTAGGCGATCAGCCAGGGGACGAAGGATTCAGGATCCGAAGGAACTGCAGGGACCGCGGTGTCAGGTGCCAGAGGAGTCGCAGTGTCGGGGACCCGGGGACCTGGAACTGAAACTAGACCAGGATTAGAGACTAGTTCTGGAATTGATTCCCCTGAGGCTGAGGGTGACACTGGCGACGAGGCTGAGGACGAGGCTGGACCCGAGAATGTGGTAAGGATAACTGCAGTGGGGGACGGATGGGCGATCTCATGCTGGATACGGCGGAGCAAGGGCAGGGAGTGAGGGAGATGGGACCGAAGCAATGGAAGCAGCTGGGTCTGGGTCCATTCAGAATGTGGTGATGTTTCGTCGAAGCGACAGGCCTGATGGAGAATGGGATCCGCCTTGTCCTGGGCATGATCTCGGGTTGCAGTTGACATCCTTGTCAGTGGTGTAGCTGGCATGTGTGCCTGGCGAGTGGCTGGCTGTTTGATCGACTGGAAGTGGGTATAGGCCCGTAAATAGGGAGAAGTAACTAGTAGTTAGGAGGAATGTGAGTGGTGGTGGGATGCCAGACGGAGAAATTCAGATAATGCAATGGAAGAATGGAAGGAAAGCACCACGCGAGAGATGGAAAATGTCCGTGTCAACAGTCCTCTAAAAAATTGACACTTTGACGGGTTACCTTAATTGAAGGTGAGTGAGTCATGAAAATAGGCTTAATATGACGAGTCGTTAATTTCGGACGTGCCCGAAGGCGTCATTTTACCCAATTGGGGGTGATATGATATAGCTTAAGGGGATATAGTAGTCGATAGTTAATAAGCTAAGAGAGGAATTTGTCATTCTTCCCGAGCACGATAGATGGTCAGTAGATAGATAGATGGAGAGATAACAAACAGGCAAGCCCGTGTTAAGGTGCAAAATTCCTCCTGTCGGGGACCCCGACTTCCCCGATGTGGCGGTGCGTCAAGACACCTTCATCAATAACAATACCTTAAAAGATTAAATCTCCTAAAATCAGGAGTTAATTTATTCATCCAGTCTAATTCATCTAGTCTAGTTTGAAAATTCAACCCTGACAGCATCAGCATCATAATCCTCCATTCTAAACCCCCGGGTTCCTGCGCCCGGTTATTTTTATCCCGTCTAGAAACGAACTAAAACCCCCTAGTGCTGCCTCCGTCGCATGTCTAGTCTCCAGCTGGTAGCCAACTGCGAGTGCTGGTGGCTGGCTGATGTTGAAGCAGAGATTTCATCTTCTGGGCAACGACACCATGTGGGCCTGAATGGAATTGTTTTTCCCTTGTTGTTCTGTGCATTCTGTGTGGAGGAGAATTCTCCTGAGCCGGTGTCGGTCGCGTTTTTGACAGGTCCCATGCTCCCGGGTCGTCGTCATGCCCGTTTGGGTAAAGGAGATGTGGGTGTAGCTTAGTAATTAATCTATGGGGTTGTGATTTGGAATTCTGTGTTTTCGCGTAGATTATGGAGTCGTCGGGATTTACGTGGAGTGATCGACGCATGTTTTGGAACTTGGACGATTTTGTAGTGGATAGATAGTAGCTGCTTTGGGTATATTGTTGTTGGGGGTGCGATGTATATTGCTACATCGGATGGAGTAGTAGATAAACTAATATACAACCAACATTGTATGAAATATAACAGTACTAGTAGTTGTACTATAATTTGCGTCGCTGTAAACCAGAATACTAATTGAAGCTTGGAAAATAAATACTTATATTGAACATAGGAAATATATTTTTACATAGGAGATTCATCATCGTAACCATCATAGCTAATGTACATTCACCATGGACTGCGCGGTCCAACCATCCAATCTTCCATTGCCAACCACTCACTCCAGCGGGCTTCCGCTTCGCGTAACTCTTCCTCTGCAGCTGCTCGCAATGGCCGTAGAAATGGCGTTTGTTCGTCCGGCAGAATATCATACGCCGCCTTTGTTGACGCCCACCCGCCGCTCTTTGCCGTAAACAAGTAATTCACCCGCTCTTGCTTGACAATGCTCCCCACTCCCCCGACCCAATCTTCTCCGAAGAACGCGCCAAGCACCTCAGGACTATCCTGTGCTGTTACAATGAGGCGCCGAATGTAGGCGCGTAATGACGGATGGGTTGCCTGGGCCCCAGATTGCTGGCAAGGCAGTCGAATGTTGAGAAATGCGGCCAACGACTGCACTGTCGGGGTATGCTGCGCATAGGAAACAAAGAACTGCGTGCATGCCAGGTACCTCGGGTACCAGGAGTCAAGGAGGTCCGGGCAAAGGTCTGAAGCAGGCTCGGGAACCTCTTCCGTGCCTGTGCGCATAAAGGGTTGATCCTGAAATTGACAAGGATCAGGGTGGACAGGCCAGCTTGGAGACGAAGGTGTCATGGGAACAGCTAAGGCCGGAGGTTCAGGTCTACCAGGACTGGTTTCAGTGTCCATGTTAAGACAAAGAGATTCTGCGGGAGGGGTTGGCATGGCTTCACGACGATAGGTGACTTAATGGAAACTATGGAAGTGGACTTACTTTGGGGTTGATATGCCAGAGATGCGGCGGAGAAAGGATCGTGAAATTCGACGTAGGGAGGAGGTGAAGTTGGCCTCGAGTCTTTTCCGCAGGGGGACAGATTCATTTGCATGTTTGTATTCATGACCACGGAGGAAGGACATATGATGTCTGAGAGGTTATAGACTTAGAATAGTGAAGTGAAGTCTGGTGAAGATGGAAAATTGGTGAATTCGTGGACTTCAAGCACGAGGGTAGGCCCTCCTTATACTCCTCCTTTCCTCCATGTTGGGAACGACGGTCAGACCGATAAAAATCGGGGATTAGCATGCGGAAATGCAAGGCCCAAGAACGGTGGGAGCAAGCTCACGAGGATCCGCATGGCAGGTGGAGCTGGCGCGCAAACTATTGCCCATGCGAGGATCTGAGGCTATCACGGATTTGCTGCTATTGACGGGGATTGGTCAAGCCACAGCATTCCAGCCACAGAAAAGCGAGCCACGATGATACTATGATAGGACTAGTGGCATAGTTCGTGATGTGGCGCGGGTGGGGCGCAGTGGCTGTGCAGCCCTACTCCGGCCTAAGGCTGTAAGGCCTTGTGAAACCCGAGCCTGAGGTACACCGTCTTGCCGCATTGGGTTACTGCCCAGGCACCGTGACCCAATCACTGCCCTGATAAATCCCAGGAACCGCAGGGGGAGACTTGGAACTACTTTGAACTACTGAGTACAGAGTCAATCCTGGTGTCTTAATGTCTTAGTGGTTCAATACTACTCTACTACTATACCAGATCATTACTAGTAGCCATCATCCACCTCAATGATGTATGGCCATTGTTTCTCTGCACCACAGATTTGCAATCCCGGGAACCTGGACAACCCCAGCGACGCTAACACAAAGGATTTGGAATGGCCAAGAGCACCGGGGTCTGCTTCTCCTTCGCTTATCCTCCTTCCCCTCAACCCGCTCACCCATGGTTTAATCTATCGTTGATTGCGTTTAATAAAGCGACCGGCGCCAATGGGAAACTAATATGCGACCGTGTGAGTTTAGCAAGTCTCCCATCTAGTGCCTTCTTGAGTTACCCATGTCCTGGGTCTGGGTCAAAGCCCACCCACCGCCTGCAAACCTAAGTGTGGTCCTGGTCATCGGCGACCTGGACTAACCTTGACCACAACTTGTTGTCTCCCAGACCAGACTAATTACTCTGCCCACTACTCTACCCCCCCCAGTCAATGGAGAATCAATAGTCGACACCGATCTGTGACAGCTCCTCTGGCATCCCCGCACCCATAGACGACGCAATCATGACACATGATTACCTACTAGTAGTAACTCTCTCAATCTTACACATGGTCCTGATGACCTTGGCTTATGCGGGTGATTGCGAACACCCCCCTGGGGTGGTACAGGCATGCGCTCCCTCTTACCCTCATTGTCATCATACATATGCAACCCCCCAGGAACTGCAAACGTGGAGGAGATCCGATGCACCTGACTCCCCAATATGCAAGGGGATGGAGGGGGAGTGAGGGAAGGCCTGCCAGCGCGGCCATCGCCCATCGCCCATCGGAGACACCGGTGGTTTGGACGTCGATCAGCAGCGACCAGCCAGTCAGCCAGTTAGGCTTGGATCCAGCGTCGTGTTGAGGCCTGGCGTCCACGCTAACCCTGGGTCCACCGCCTTCGCCTGCTTCAGCCGCTGCTTCGAGCCTACTCCTCATCCGGTTTAGAGAGACCTGGCGTGCCTGACGGGTGGAGACCACCGAACCTGGCCGAACCGCTCAGTGGGCGCTCACAATGCTCGTAGGTACCTGCTTGCTGGGATGTCTATTCTGGACCTGAGAGATCGGGATAGCCGCTCCATCGTAGCCTCTCTCTTAGTCTTCGGACCGACATGGCCCAGCTCGTCAGGACGCTAGTCAGATTTAGACAGATTCGTCCCAGTTTTTACCTGATCGCTGGTTCGCTAGTCCCGCAGGCTTATGATATGATGAGATCATGACTGCCGCTAAAACTCAAATCATTCGGGCGATTAGATCCATCACAAGTGGACATGCCCGCCAGCCATGGAGGCTGCAGAGATTAAAGAGAAAAAAGAAAATAGTAAAAATGGAAATCTTAGGCCGGCCAAGCCCAGCGTTAATCCAGGGTCACCCTGCCATGCGCTGAAGCTTCCCCACTCTAAATGATTACGGACGGAGTGGCTGACCGTCACCCTCCACCACAGCATGCTTTGCTATCTCATGCTATATAACCATCAAGGTTTCTCCCGGACGGAAGGCACTCGTTCTCCATCCATCACAAAGTCTCTTTCAGAACGTGTATAATAGCATTGATCAGTGCATTCTACAACTCTTCCAACTACTACTACAATATCCTCTACAACCACCACACTCGTCTGTCGCTACCTCGCTCACTCACCCACCATGCCTTACCGCACCAACTACGAGCCTTATGTGAGTGATCTTGTTCCAAAGGAATAGAAGACCAATTACTGATGCCTTCTAGACTAGCCAGAGCTTCGAGATGAAGCGCGAACTTTCCACCGAAGAGATCCTCTATCCTCTCGGGACACTCTACCCACACGTCGTGGCTCTTCAGCTCCAAACCGACGAGTACCCGTGGTGCAAGGCCAACCACTATGCTGGATATGACAGCAGCCTTTCAGTGGACGAAGCGTCGGAGCATTATTCGACCAAGTCGATGCTACGCAGGAACAGTGGTATGTGCACACGTCCTTCATCGGTTGCCTCCGATTTCAAATCCAACCAGTCTGATCTGTCAGACAAGGTGCATATGAGCCACGCTAACGTCTGCGCAGACTCCACAGCATGCCGCATTGTGTCACGAATTCGGCGACTACTCAACCGCGACGAATTGCGACGTCGCCGACAGGCCTGATTGCCTTCCTTCCTTTACATTTATGTTTCGTCGATAAACTTTTTTTCATTCTTCGACTTTCTTCGACGACGACTTTTTTTTTTTTTTCCCACCAAGATTCTGCATAGCTACTGAGCGATACCCGTCTGGCATGACGGTTGTTTCATTTGTTTATCACCAACATCATCACATCATCACATCATCTCAACATTGTCCAGCATGCTGGATCACTCTCTGAGACATTTCCTTATCTGTTTGTTACATTTCTTGTCACCGGTTGCACTGGGAGTTTTCTTTTCGGGATGAGTTTAGCGAGGAGTTTCGGGCATGGGAAGCAAGGGAGAATCAGGCACGGCCGGTTTCGGTATTGATTAAACCTGACTGACTGGGTCAGATGAGTAACAATAATATTAATGAAGACATGTGAACAACACCCCCCATTGTCATCCATCTTTCATCTTTCATCCTCATCACCGCGTGAAAATGAAATAGAGTACGGAGTAGATAGTATGTATGGTTCAGGAGAACGAAGATCTGCCGTAGACTCGTACAGTAGAACAACTCGTTCCCGACTTGACTCCACCCACACGGGGGAAAGGGCCCATGACAAACGAGGGAGGGAGGGATGAACCCAAATCCCCAAACCCAATCTAATCAACAGCAGCAGCGCACAAACACGGACTGGCGGGATCGAACCTGTTCGAACAGGTTTGGACATGAAACCCATCCCACATCAACCCCCTGCAGACGCCCCGTGAGGAACTGACCGACAGACCGACAGGCAGACAGATCGATACATCCCATGACTACTACTGCTATCTACTAACCCACACTCACTTTCTCCCCATTCGTGATAAAGCCCGAGACATAGCCGACAACAACACGCGCAGCCCCGATGCCTAATTATCCGAATCGAGCCATCCCCCCATTCCATATCATATCACCAGCTGGACAGATCAGATGCAATGGCACGAACCATCGGACGCCTGCTGCTGCAAGTGCTCATCACCACTAGTTTCCTGTGTGTCACGATGATCCAGAGGGCTCCTGCTCCTGCTGCTGCTGCTGCTGCTGCCGCTCCCCTTTCATTTCAGATTCTGCAGCGTGGCTGTCAGAACTTTGAACGGGTGTTCCCGCGCTGGCCGCGATGATAAGTTTCTAGAGGGCCGAGGGGCTGGGGGAGGGATCGGATCATGATTTCAATATGAGGAATCATATTCGGTGTCTGTGCGTGGAATTGCCCTGGAATTTTTTCTTTGTCATGAGGGAATTTACGCTTTTGAATTACTATTGGTAATTTGATGATGATGCTGATAATGATGATGCTGATGATGCGAAAAGCAGGTGCATGACCGAAAGATGGATGCCGAGGGATGATGACCGATTTCTGCGGGGTGTCGATCAATCAGGGGAAAGAAGTAACAAGAAATCTGGAGTTTGAGGAGAAACCAACAACCAACTGAGCGGGTGTTGCTTTCGTCCTCCTTCCTAACAACCCATCTTTTCTTTTCTTTTCTTTTTTTTCCCATGACGAAGCCTACGATAAAACAGAGTTAATTAAGACCGGTTTCTTGATTTTACATGCAGCGCGCAGGCCGCCATCACATCTACCACCACCACCACCCACCATGCGCCTCCACCTCCACCTCCCGCCGTCTCTCCTCCTCACCACCACCCTCTTCCTCCTCCTCCCCCTCCTTACCACCGCCAAATTCAGCCCCCTCTGCATCCGCGTCCTCACCACATTAACAGGCCGCCCCAACGACATCTTCACCAAATTCCAGCGCGAAGTCTGCGACAAGGGATGCCAGCCCACCGTACCGCACTGGGACCTATGGACGCGCAACAATACCTTCCTCCCGGCGGTGCGCAGTCTCATGGAACATGTGGACAACCCGCGGCAGGAGGAGGCGATGGTGCGGCTGGGGGATGATGTAGCGGATGTGATTAAGCGACAGTGCGGGCCATTGTTGCAGGGCAGGGATATTTGCTCCGATGATGAGACGTTGGCGGCGTTTGGGACGTGCTTTAAGAAGGGGTTTGTGCGGGCGGCGCTGAGTAATTTGCCGACGTTGTTGCCGTTGGCGAGGGAGGAGGTGTGTCGTGAGCAGTTGGAGTGGTTGAAGAAGGATGAGTTGTGGGAGGTCATTATTCCGGGGAAGATGAGGGAGTATGCGGGTGTTTGTAGGGGTTTGGGTGGGGGGTTAGGGGAGTTGGGGGTGGTGGGGGTGGAGTTGTTGGGGGTGTAGGTAGTATTTGTTGTGGGTTTGGGGGAAATAAGAAAATGAGCAACATAATATTCTTGAATCTAGTGCATTCTCATTTCTTTTGATGTAGTAGTAATGACCTTCCTTACACATCACGGTAAAATTGAAGTCAACTCAAAACCCGGTAAAAATGCATGCAAATGTTTCCAAACTTCATCAGTCTGGTCGAATGAATACGATAGTGTCCCCACGATATAAATTGCTGGGTTAACCTTCGCTTGGACAAATGGACTGCCGCATGATAGTAGTGATAAGTTTAGCTGATAATAACCTTTTGGCCAGAGGGCCCTTCACGTCTTCCCAACAACCCTTTCAAATTCAGCCACATCATTGTCAAATATTGTTCAACCGAGGACCTCCAAGTAGATCCAACTTGGAATGTAATAGTTTCATCAGGATTGATATCGGTTTGCTTGATCCAGCGCTTGCTAACATAACTAGGTAAAGGTCAGCCATGGCTCTCTATTTGGCCAGGGGTCTGTAATACCTCCAGTGTATGAGTCCCATAAACATGTCCGTACAGCAATTGATGAAGACTTCTCGTATACGGCGTCCTTGGGCATTCTCACCCACACAGAGCCTATCTGCACTGGCGCAGAAGCCCTCGACTTCCAAACGACAGATATGGTAGCTGAGCTGCATTGCCTGGTTAACATCAAGTCCTGTGTTTGCCATAAGCACCGGGATCAGGTTCTCCAGTTGTCCATCATTCTGGTGTTGTCAGTGTCAGTCGAGTGTAAAATATGAGGGATAGCTCTCATGACATACATATTCCTTTGGAATGAGTGTATATCGTTTGATCTGACGATATTAACACCATAGTTAATGTCCATGAATGGGAAGAGCATTGGGTAAATGACTTACATGTGAGCCAAGTAAGATGTATGTTTCCACATGCGGGACATGTGCTCATTCTCCACGTGAGCCCTCCTAATATTGAATCCATATGCAAAGCTTGTTGATTGCTTGGTAAGAAAATTAGAAAGCGGAGAACACAGCAGAACACTCACGGAAAGGTGCATATAACACAGTACACAGCTGCTGTCCGCTCTCTCCGTTGCCAGTAACTCTCCACCGATGGCATGGCACTGCTGCTGAACAAACTGTCAACGTTGCTAACGCTGGAAACATATCCCAGCATTTGTTCGAGAAGGATTTGGCAAGTTTCTTCGATAGTCAGTCTTTGCATACAGCATACATATTGGTATATGTAGCATACCTTTGTCACAGTCCTGGCGAATGTGAGCTCCAACTTCGTCCCACCAGCGCAATGCCTTTTGCTGCTCAAGTGGAAACTGTGACAAGTCTGGATATTCACCTTCTAGGACAAGATTGTACTTGAAATATTCCAGACTTGCATCTCGGTAGAGAGCCGCCGCATGACGGTCGTCCTTTAATGCACCGCAATCGAACACTTACCGGAAATCATATTCCTCAGCATAGTCAGCCATAAATGGGAAGAATGGGCACTCACAGTCATCCCAGATGAAATACTACATTTTGTCAGTCAGAATGTATGACAATTAGTAGGAAGCGCCGAAATACCCAAAACATGTATTTTGCCACCGCGCAGAGTTTCTCATACGAAGTGTTTGAGCAAAGGATAGCAGAAAACAGAGTGCAATCGGCCTGTTCAATTTTTCGCCTTGTGAGATCATCATCCACATAGCTACTGCAAGTCAGAATGTGGCCCATTTCATGAGACTTTATGTCGGGGATTTCAGTACCGTCGCACCCAGGGAGCAAGACATTCATCTCGTGTTTTCTGGTACATAGGATGAATCTTGAGTTCCCAATCAGGAAGTAGCTTGTATAGGTTTGGTATTGTAACACTTCGGCCTTTGATAGACTCGCGCAGTTGTATATACTGATCACTGTTATAGAATTCGGAACTCATGGCTTCTAAAAGAGAGAACTATAGACGATATGGCTGTGATGGAGAAGAATGGGGAAAATTGCGAACCCTGAAGGAGTATCGCCATTATATACCTGATTTGAGAATTGCGACATGCCGTATATCCGGTTCTGGATTCGAGTTTAATGTAGATCCAATAAGGGAACAGCTGGTTATCATTGCCCATGGATTACACTGCAGTGATATTCCGGTGGATACGTTTTACTCGGCTGCCCAAAGAGATATTGATTGCCTTGAAACTACTTCGTTTTCCCTACTACGCCCAGCGCGCGAAGTCAACCGTCTCAACTTGGTTCAGGTATCTGATCATATCCACTCTGTATCGCGATTGCTCCAAGTCTCAAGTGGCATGTCCATTCTGGAGACAGTACCTCTGAAACATAACGCTTTGTACATAGCACACGCCTCGCAGCCTGCAGATCGGTTCCTTTTGCAGCCAAGTGATCAGTTTTCCGAGGGATTTAGATGTTCCTATTTCAGCAACCTGCACAGAAAGTATGTAATTATGATATAAAAGATAGCCGAACTTTGCGTGACGCATCTTTGTGTTGACCTGGCACTCGCATTGGACTGGCGCCAAGTAGGCACAGTCTCCCGATAACCAGATAGTTGATGATTCACTACCTTGTAACTGAAGATTTCAGAATTCCGCGTCAGGACGAACAGGAGGGTCATGGAACAATCATCCGTATGTCTTTTGATAGGCAGCTGCTGTCATGGATGTAGGTAAGGGACTTATCTTGAGTTACTGTGGGCCGTTTCGAGTCCATGGCAGTATCAAAGCAGAGGGTCAAACGCTAAGCTTTATATTGAAGTCTACGAGCCTTACAATAGACATACTAATTGAGAGCGAAAGGTCTAACATAAGGGAGCAAACCTACGGAGTGAGAGGGTAAAATCCACTCTGAAGTACAAAGAAAATTCTCGAATCGTTCATTGTAGAGTCCTGTGAGGTAACTTGTGAAGAGAGTTTCACTAGAAGAAGAATAGTAGCAGTATGTGTAATCAAGAGAACTTGCAATAACGTGTAGTACTAGTCTAGCTCTTATCGTTAACCTGATAATCACAGCGGGTTATGCATTGTATGCTATGTACCCTACGTCACATTGTTAGTCACCCACATCAACACCAATAACATCTACTAGAAGCAGAGTAAGGGATGGTAAGCTTTGAAGCGTCCCTACTTTCCAGGTTTTCATGTGAAGAGCATTGGGAATAAGATAAAATCACTATACCGCTGATATGGTGCACAAGAGTATCACAGTATCCGCATTTTGTCAAAGTACAGTCACATCTTGCAATGATGGCAAGTAAACCGAAGTTCTGCGTACCACCCAGATAGATCAACAAGTCCTGCATTTTGTGTGGTTTTTTTTTTTCCCATTCTTCTGACTTTATATTCTTGATAAGGACCGATTTATATTCTCCCTATGCTCCAATATGAACCGCTGCTAAGACTTCAGTTAGTACGAAGCGCGTAGAAGCGAGATTAGAGAACGAGTGATCCTAAACATGTGTGCTTCTTGTCTATTTCTGGTATCTGCAGTGGTAGTATACAGCCAGCTCTTCATTATCTCAGAGTACCCTCGTCCATCTTGATCATTCAGCTCGCGGCAGGTGTATAACAAGCATTCCTCCCATGCTCGGGGCTGTCCTTTTAGGGACAATCATATACAGGTCTGATTGTGATCTGGCTTTGTTCGGCTTTCGTATGCAGATGTTGAGCAACTATACTAGTTTATCATCATGTCGATCCCACCCTTTCTGATGCAGGAGATTGCCACGATTATGGGCATGCTGTCCGACCTTCGGTCACAGCCCCTGGCGCCACACCGGTTACCGTGCATGAGCACATTGCTCTTAGAAACTCGGCTCGCTCCTATCGTTGCTCATTCGGTGTATGTAGGCCGCTTTGCTGAATCGGCATATTGACCTTCTGGAATGCTCTCTTTCTCTCTGGTCTTGGGACGCAGATCGGACTCCTACACTGTGTACATCTACTGGGCTACGGTAAATACTAGTAGTCTTGTTTTGCGTGCCAAAACCTTAGAATTACCACTGACATCCCTGTTATGCTCAGAGGAAGACTTGATCTCACTTGAACATGAAGAGCAACATTGGTGCTCTTTGAAAACCATGCCGGTTTTGCGATGCGTTCACATTCCATCGTACATGAATCATTCATGTAATGTTCTGTCGCTGCACTCTGCTTTGGCCTGGAGTAGGAAAAACAACGATAATGTATCTGATTTTAAAATGATCTTTGAGTAGCACCAGACATCTGTGGTCTACTGTTTCCACAGTAGTTCAGGGTTAGATTCAATAGGGGATCCACACTGATAGCGAAATCTCAGAGAGAACAACCACAGCTACTACCTTGATTTCATATGTCGAGGTAATTTGGACTGTACAATATCATTTTTCCCCCTTATATTCTCCTAAGGGGTATATATCTGAAGAGAGTGGAAATGATGGGAGAAAACGTGAATCCTGGTTCAATTCTCCGCCCGAATGGCCCGATCGGGCAATTCGTCATCGTGGGCTCTGACTTCCTTCTCCGCCTTCACGTCATCTGCGTTTCCCCCTCTGTTTCTGCTTCCTTGAAATCCGCTTACTTCTCGCCATTGTTACGCCATTGACTTCACTGTCCTCTTACATGCCCCCGCCATGACAATCTTCATACCTGTCTCCTCGTTCTGATGGCATCGGCCACCGTCTCCCGCGCCTGGCGCTCCCTTCCCTCCCAGCTTGCTCGCCCGCGTGTCCATCTCTCCCCTCGTGCACCCCGTCAGCCTCTCTTGCAACTCCGTCAATATGTCCAGGCAGGCCATTACCAGCCTTTCGTCCCCCCCTCGCCAGCCTCCCTAGGTAGACCTACCAAGGCCAAAACCTACGATCGCACCCGAAAATGGCTTCGTCGGCTGTTCTACCTCTCTCTAGCCACCGGCACCGTCTACGTTCTCGACACCCAATTCTACGCCTCGTCTCTGACACGGACGGCTCGCACCTTCAGCTTGGGTCTTCTGGTAGCCCTGGATTACAAGATAAACTTCCGTCCCAACCCGCCGCTGGCCAGAGACATCAACGCCGTACACACCCGCAATGCTGAGCGTCTGTCCGACCTCCTGCGTCACAATGGCGGTCTGTACTTGAAGATCGGCCAGGCTATCGCTATGCAGTCCGCTATCCTGCCCCCGGAATTTCAGAAAATGTTCTCGCGCATGTTCGATGACGCCCCTCAGAACGACTGGAAAGATGTTGAGAAGGTCATCCGCGAGGACTTTGGCCGCTCCGCTGAGGAGGTTTTTGGCGTCTCCTTCTCTGGTGAGCCCGGCAAGGGTGTTATGGAGCGGGCTGCGCGCGCGAGTGCCAGTGTAGCACAGGTACATTGGGCGCGTCTTCCGGATGGTCGTGAGGTGGCAATCAAGATACAGAAACGTGAAATTGCTCAACAGCTGAAATGGGATCTGTGGGCTTTCAAGTAAGCTCCCACCCCGCACCCTGCATCGCACACAAAATGCTAATGAGAACAGAGTCGTTGCCTGGATCTACAGCCGTACCTTTGATATCCCATTCTACAGCTTGGTTCCTTATGTGTCGGAGCGTCTCTCCCTTGAGACCGACTTTGAAAATGAGGCCGACAACTCCGAGCACATGGCGCGTTTGGTCGCCGGGGAGTCCCGTCTCCGCGGCCGCGTGTACATTCCGAAGGTCTACCGCGAGCTCAGCTCTAAGCGTGTCATGACCGCCGAGTGGATTGAAGGTGTCCGCCTCTGGGACAAGGACTCCATCACGCGGACTTGGCGTGGCGGTTGGCGCAGCGGCACCCCAGGCTGCCATGGCACGCCTCTCGATGCGCGCAACACCGAAGACCTTGTCGCCAAAGTGGCTCGCAATCCGAACCTTACGACCAAGATTAAGCCCGAGCGCGATCACTGGCGCGGTGGATACGCCCGCGCTGGTCTCGGCCTTTCTCTTAAGGAAGTCATGACTACTATGGTAGACCTCTTCTCCGCACAAATGTTCCTCTGGGGCATAGTCCATTGCGATCCGCACCCAGGCAACATCTTCATCCGCCGGACTCCTTCCGGTCATCCGGAGCTTGTCCTCATCGATCACGGACTTTACATCCACATGGACACCGAATTCCGACACCAGTACGCCCGCTTCTGGAAAGCCCTTCTCACCTTCGATAACACCACCCTTAACTCCATCGTCCGCGGCTGGGGCGTACAGAATGCTGACCTCTTCGCCTCTGCGACCCTGATGCGACCTTACCGCGGCGGCGACCTCTCGACGCACCGCTCCTTCGAAGGACTCAGCAAATCTGAGCGTGCCACGCGCCACTACGAAATGCAGCAAGCTGCCCGCAAAGCAATTCGTGACATACTCGGCGATGAGTCCAAATGGCCCCGCCCACTGATCTTCATTGGCCGCAACCTTCGCATTGTTCAGGCCAACAACCAGTTCCTGGGCTCGCCCGTCAACCGCGTCAAGATTACCGGAACTTGGGCGTCCCGCGCGCTAGTCGAGTCTCCGGACTTGTCGGCATCGGAGAAGCTGAGGAACTTTGGTCGCCATCTGCTGTTCCGCGTAGTGCTGTTTAGCACGGACCTGTTTTTCTGGTTTACGAAGGTGCGGCAGTTCTTGAGACTTGGTGGTGGTATGGAGGATAGCATCGAGGCGCAGATGCAGGGGATGGCCAAGGATATGGGTGTGGAGTTGAGTCAAAATGTCTTCGAGGGTTAGACAGGGTCTGTGGTTGGACTGTATAAAGGGATCTAGATGTATATTTACCTCTCCTCTATGATATGCTTAATATAAAAGAGATAGAGAAAACTTCACTGTTAATATGGCACATCACTATGCCCATAGGTTTGGATACTTCATCACGAGTTCTTGATATTCACCGATGATCACGTTGAATCATTTCGCACAGAGTATATCCATCGGAAGTAAATAAATGGACCCGACGTATTGCCGATAAACGGTCCACTTGAGCCAGTTCAAGGCGATATTGATTCATAGTGCAGCCGCCGATTTGCCAGGTTTCGGCCTACCCCACAGCGAGGATCCATCCGCAGGCCATCAAAAACTTACGAGATTCAGCCCTACCATAGACCTTTCAGGGGTCCAGCTCTAATGAACATATTAAAAGATATCCCTACCCCATAAAAACCAAGAACTACCCTCCCATTCATTACAAACTCTCATTCCCCAAGACCTTATATCGAACTCCCTAACCAAATCACCATCATCAATGCCACGAACCATCCTCCCATCCCTCTTCGAAACCCTCTCCTTCTACCTAATCCCATCCCCAGAATGGAGCCCCTTCTGGTATAATCTATATGAATGGTTAGGAACCTGCATGATTGTGTGGATTCAGCTCTACTTCTTCGGCATGTCGACTGATATCACTATCCAACTTGTCGGCTTTATTACCATGCATCTTGTTACATTCCCTATTGTAGCTTGGCATGCTTACTATGGTGATGGTTGGACGGAGGAAGCGGTGGATATGTGTTTGGGGATTGTCCCTGTGTTGGGTTTGGATGTGGTTACTGTTTGGTTGGTGTATTGGAGGGGGAGGGGGGGATTGGGTATGTAGTTTGTTTGTTTGTTGGATGTTTTGGGTTGGATTTGCTTTTAAGATGGTATGTTTTATAGAAGTGGGTGGGGAACTGACGGATTACTAGTAGATGAGGAATTAGGAGGGAAGGATTGATTGGGTTCCTGTTCTTTGACCAGGTGATGCAATTGGAATTGATAAAGGAAATTATACGATGTAGGAATCCAAATATGTGATGTAAGTGTGTGGTGTCTTGCCAAAAACACCTTGACTGATGCAGTGGCAACCACAGACGAGAGATCTTCGACATGCTCTATACACATTCAGCTATTCCATGATTGAGGAACCAGACTATACAACTATTTACTTGCTGGGGAATATTGACAACATCTCCGACATATCCCTTCACCCCACCCATATTCCACCCTTCACCACGTATAAAAACTTCAACTCCTCACCGTCACAAACAAATCCCCCGCCGGCGCTGCCGCCGCCAACGACGGCAAATCCATCCGAATGTCCGGAACTATCGGGCTCTCCACAACGCCCCCATCAGCAGTCGTTACCTCCATCTTGAATCTTCTCAAACTCATCGCTACCAACAAATACACCTCCCGCTCAGCAAAATACCTCCCCGGACACAGCGTATGCCCACCCCCGAACGGGAAATACTCCTTCGCCTGTCTGATCTTAGGGTTCTTCAGGAAGCGAGTATAGTCAAACTCAGCGGCTCCAGTGCTGAAGACACCCTCAGCCAAGTGAAAGTTACGCACGGGACCGAAGACCTGGTCTCCTTTGTGGATGACTTTGCTCCCGACGGAGCAGTCATCTACGGCTTTACGCACTGCCGTTGAGAAATTGTATAGCCGAAGGGCTTCGGCCCAGAGGGCGTTGAGATGGGGACATGCGCTGGATAGTTTCTCCATGTCGCATCCTTGGTCTGAGGTTGGGCTGGGGAAGCAGGCAGATATTTCGCTCTCGATGGATGCTTTTAGGGTTGGGTTGGTGAGAATATGGGCAAACATCCAGAAGGCGATGTAGTGGGCGTTGTTGTTTATCCTGTCGTTTACCAATTAGCTTCATTAGTGTTAGAACTTTTGGTGTGGCGGATAAACATACGCCCAACAGATCATCATGATTAGGCCAGCGCGGTCATGAGCGGGCAAGCCCAGGTTAGTCAGTTCAGAGTTCATAGCTCCGAAGATCCAAGCTGTATTTCTTCTCTTGGATTCAGGTAGATCCAGATATACAGCGAGAGCCGCGATAACACGTTTGCGATCTGCTTGCAACCCCGGCGCGAGGAAGTGGGGGAAGTTATAGAAGATCTTCCAGCTGGCATCTTCCCAGCGCTGGTAGATGCGGGTAAATTCCGGCTCAATCTCGAATAGCTCCTCCCCGAAGAAGGTTCGGAATGCGCTCTGCGCTAGGACGTAGCGACAGAAGCGTCCCAGGGGTAGTGTCACCGAAGTATTGGTTCCATCACATTTGAAAGATGTTACCTCCTTAGCCAAACCCTTACGTAGGAGTGAGATATCAAGGAATCGAGACAAAAACACCGGATAAGCCTGCAGTAGGCCATTGAGGTGTTCACCCGGCAGTAGCTGCGTCTTGAACCACTGGCTCTGCAAATGCATATAAGAGAGCTTCTTGGGGTTCGCACACGATAACAAAGATTTCTCCCGTATCTTTTCGTTAGGAAGCAGACGCCCTGGATCTGGTTTGTAAAGGTTTCGCACGTGGTGGGGTGTTATGCCAAAGGCCATGAGCATGCGGGATGTGAAGGGGTCGTAGCTTAGTGCACTGGTGTTTCTCCACACGCTGGATAGGTCTTTGATGTCCCGGATGATTACTGTTGTGCCTCCCATGAGGATGACACTGTAGGGCTCGGTGTCGGGGAAGTAGGCACTGTTTGTGGAGACGTTGTGTTTTAGTTTCAGGGGTTGGTGAAGAGGGGGTAAGGGTGGCATACTTTGCTCTTCGATATACATTTTCTGCGCATCGTACGAAGGATACTGTATGGCCTGTTTGATGGTGCGTTAATTGAAAGATCATAGACGTGGAAGGGGTAAGAGAGACGCACCGATAAAGGGAATCCAGTATGGTAGTATGCGTGGTTCATTAGGGTAGAGGGCGGGAACGATGTAGAAGCGCCAAAGATACCAGAGTGACCATAAAATGGCTATAGATACTGCTGTGAATGCTACGGGGCTTTCTGCAACCCCAAGAGAAATCTTGTGGTGTGACAGTTGCCACTCCATATTGAAGGATACCGCAATGTAGGCTCGTCAGTGGAGGATACTGAAGTGGAAGGAATGAATAAATCAAGCCATTAACATAAAGTGGAGGGGAAAGCGTGGCTCCATGCCCGCGTTCTGATATGGTCAATGGTCTCAATTTCCAGTGCAAACATCAATATGCCGAATGACCGAGGAGGCAGAAGATACTGCAATAAGCACTAGACATTTTGCTTGGAGTTTCTGTCCGTATTAGTCTGCATAGATGACAAGAAATGTGGTAATTTGCAATCCTACCGTCGATACAAATCGTCAGTACCTAAACAGTACCGGCAGTGGCTGTCTCAACAGGAACCTCTGCATTGACCCTGCGCCACGCCCACTCCACTTATCTAGAGTTTGAATCATCATGAAGCTGACCAAAATGGCCCCTTCAAAGGCTGAAGATTTCCAAAATAAGATAACGTTCCGGACCGATTTCTGTCTGGCCCTCCGGCCAACATCCTTCGCACCTCGCTTCCAACATCTAGGACCAATCGATTTGACCAATATCTGCCTTGCGGCATGATGCACGATACTTTTCGTCCTTCTGCGGTATATAGCTGCGCCTTGAGACTTTCTCCCGGGAAGCATTGCAATCCTTTCAGTTACAGTCAACTTTCTTCACCATGGCAGCCGCGTCTGCAACCATAGACATGGCTCAGGTTCCTGCGGGGACCCCTCCCGCCGGGGTGACTCCCAACCTATATGGCAATCCTCCGTCATTGCAATCTACGATCATTGGATTTGCCGCACTCTTCTACATCCTGACCACCATTGCTGTCTCCCTTCGCCTGTATTCTGTTGCTCGGAGCCTACAGAAGGTTGCCGCAGACGATGGTAAGCACTCTCAGCCATGGAGAATTCCATGTACCGCCTCCTCTTGCCTGTCAATCTGACTCACATCGTCTCTAGTTCTATGCATACTTGCCGTGGTACGATGGCTCGAGCGGCGGCCTCCGCATCTCCACATTTCTCCGCGGCTACAATAGCTGACACTTAATTCGGGACAGATCTGCACTTTCGCCTATATGGGTTTTCTGATCCACTGTAAGCATCTGCTTCCCATGAATATAGCCAGTGCTAAAAGGCCTCGTGCCCTCAGTGAGCTATGCAGCTCGGCACATGTGGGACGTACCTTTATCGTGGCTGTATAGCGACCAAAAATACTGGCGACTGCGCTTGGCGCAGAATCTTTTCAACCCGCTTGCCTTTTTCTTTTCGCGGGCGCCAGTATTCGTGCTCTACCGCCGTCTGTTCGATGCCCCACTTCACCGCAATTTCTCCAAGGCATGTTGGGCTGGTCTGATTGCGGCTTTCTTGCTATATATCCATACCTTCATTCTGACGGCAGTTGTCTGTGCCCCGCGCGCGGGCCACTCGTATCTTGATATGGACACCTTCCACCGCTGTTCAAAGGCGTTGCCGGACGCGATCGTGCAGGGAGCTGGGAACATTCTCTTAGATGCCTATGCGCTTATCCTGCCGCAGCCTATTATTTGGAAACTGAAGTTATCGCGGCAGAAAAGGCTGAATATCGCCTTGGTATTCGGTGTTGGTTGTATGTATGTGTCAACCTGCCCCACCTGGACCCTGAATATGGACATTTGCCCTATCATGTGCAGATCCCGACAGCCCACATATACGAGGATCGTCTCTCACTAACAATGCAGACGCCATTTAGTGCTCTACTAGCCAGCTGCATTAGCATGTACTACCGAGTCCAGCTGCACGTTGGGAGCGATACTGACTGGAACGAAGGCGCATACGATGTTACCTCGTAAGTCTTCCGCCCCGAAGGACGTGCCTTGGCGCTGCAGAGACGGCAGGTAATGGGAAAAAGATCAGACTCATTGGACTGACTGCATTCCACCTCTTGGCAGAATCTTGGAACTCAACATCGCTATCATCTGCAGTTGCTCGCCAGCCGTGTGGCGGCTAATACATCGAAACCATTCGCACGGCTCCGATTCCAGAGGCATGGGCAGCATGCCAAGGCGACAACCACGATTAATCTTCTCCTCGCTTACGGGGTCCATAGTTGGGTTGCTCGGCTTTTCACAAAATGCTAGTAAGAGTAGCAGCAACGGCGGAAAGTCGTTTGGGTCCTCATCGTCAGCGACGCCTAATCCTCAACTCAGGCAGGGATCATCAGACCAGCGAGGCCCTTATCACAATTTACATAGCTCATCAGATCTGCCGAAGAATGCGGCTCAATCGGAGGGGTACGAGATGGGTCGACTACATCAGAACGAGGGGAATTGAGTGGATACTTGCTCGTGTATGCAGTCTAAGGCCCCCGATTACAAAGTTCTGAACATCTATAGGCGCTCGTGCTGCTTCTAGTCTTTATAAATAACTGAAAGTTAATACCATGGACACATTACGGTAATTCACATCAGCTTACGGAGTAGTATTTGCAATTTAGCCACTTGTATGATAATTCCTAGCGCAAAGCTTAACTGACATCTCGGAAATTTTGTCATATGCAGACCACTTTAGAGACCTCGCTTAAGAACTTGCACTTACAGAAATCTGCCTTGGGCCCTGTTTCTATCATTCTATCATCATCTACAAGTAAGCATCTATTACGTTCTACATCCACACACCTACACACGAAACATCACCACCCATACACCCGCGTACACCCTAATCAACAAATCCCCGAACCATGCATCTGCAGAAACATAAGCACTAAACCTTAACCTCAAGCCCTACTTTCATTTCCCTTCCCCTCCCTCTTTCCCTCACCCTCCTCCTCACCCACACCATCATCTACAGCCCTCTCTTCCCTCTGGACATCGCCCTTCTCCTTCAACCCATACCCATTCCCCTCCAACTCCGCCCTCAAAACCACCTTCCCCATCCCCAATCCAGCCACAACCCCCACCAACGCAAACGCCAACCCCACAAGCCACACCGTCCTCAACGCCAACCGATACACCTCCCTCACCTGCTCCCTCTGCACCTCACCCAGCCCCGCGCCCCAATCCCCAGCAAACTCCGCCGCCGCACCATACGCCCTCCCATCCAACAACCTCTCCCTCAGCTTCTCATCATCAATGATCCTCCCCGCGTACACATCCACCCTCGCATTGAACACAATCCCCGGAGCCGTAGATCCCCACACAAATGCCAACGACCGGAGAAACGCATACACGCCCGTAGAACTCGCCGTATCGGCAGGACCCAGGGACGACTGAATAGCAGGGAGGATAGTTGTAGCTAGGAAGCCCTGGCCTAGTGCAGCGGGGAGTTGGATGCAGACCCATGCTGCGCGTGGAGAGTTAGCGGAGAGTAGGGTGAAGAGGCCTAACGCGAGAGAAAGGGCTGCGAAGCCTGTGAAGTGTAGTGGGCGGCAGAGACCCGTTCGGGACATGATCGTGCCGGCGACCATGGCGAACGGGATGAGGAAGGCGCTGTAGGGGAGGAGGTCAATTCCTGATGTTAGTGGGGACTTGCGCTGCACGCCTTGGAAGTAGATGGGGAGGAAGTAGAGGGTCCATTGCATGAGGAGGGCGGCGTCGAAGGCGAGGATGAAGCCGAGGAGGCTGTTGCGGGTGGAGAAGAGGTGGGGAGGTATGCAGGGATGGGGACAGTATTTTGGTGGGAGGGCTTCGTAGATGTGGAAGAGGATCCAGCCAATGATGCCGATGATTAGAGGGATGAGGGTCGAAGGGGAGGTCCAGGGGTGGAGGGTGCCGCCGCCAACGAGGGCGAGGAGTTGGGAGAGGATGGACCCGGCGAAGAGGATGTTGCCGGGCCAGTCGATGCGGTAGATAGAGGGGGATGTATTGGAGGAAGAGGATTGGGGGGCATCGAGACGGAGGAAAAACAGCATGAACAGAAGTACGGGCCCGGCGAGGGGCAGGTTGAGGTAGAAGACCCAGCGCCAGTTGGCTTGGGCGAGGGCGCCGCCGAGAACGGGGCCTAGGACGGCGCCGACGGCTGCGAGGGAGAGGACTATGCCTAGGTATTGGCCGCGTTCGCGTTGGGGGACTAGATCGCATACAATTAGGTCCACGAGGATGTAGATGCCACCTGAGCCGAGTCCTTGGACCGTGCGACCGCCGATCAACTGGCCCACTGTGGAGGCACCGCCCGCTAGGCCGCTGCCTAGGAGAAATAGGGCCACTGAGATTATGATGGGATTGCGTCGGCCGTAGATGTCGCAGAGCTGGGCGAGAAAGGGTTGTACGATTGTCTGGGCGATGGTGAAGCTGTTGGCTATCCAGATATAGTCGGTTTCGCCGCCGAGAGAGGCGGTTACTTTGGGGAGGGCGGTGCTGATAATTGCGCCGTCTAAAGCGGACACAAAGGAGAGGAGGCAGAGCGATAGGAAGACGAGCCAGAAGGAGATGGGGTGCTTTCGTGGAGGGGGTGGATGTGTCTCCATTGCTTGAGACCAGTTGTAGGGGTGGAAGGTGTAGTTAGGGTTGTGGGAAGGAAGGTTAAGGGTGCGTTCCGTCTGGTGGGAAAAAGCCTACATATTAACTTGGACGCATATCTTAGGTGTATAGTTTGACAGCTGCGTGGCATGTCAAAGGGCCTTTAAGGGGTATTTGCAAGGGTTCAGTATTGGGGATCTCCCAAACAGACATAGGACACAGTCCAACAGTAGCTCATTTTTGAATCCAACACAAGTGCTAGGCTGATTGTCTCTTTAGATCACTCGAACGGGCCATTCGAGTCTATGTTGGTTCATGATTGTTCTTTGTGAGGTGTCACACTATAATCTTACATACAACACTAGCTTGACCTTAGCGAGGCGCCGTTTGAGGCCGGAGCAGGTCAGAGCAACAGAAGTCGTCCTATTACTCAGACACTAAACTAGATGCATAAGGATCAGCTAGCTAGCCACCTCTAGACTCTCACCCCCAAATCTCTCTCTTTCTTCGACCCTCTCATCCTCTCGCGTTATTTAACGGCTTTCATGTCAACGGCTGTCACTCACTAGTATATCGCTGAACTATGGCTACTGGCACTACTTCCCGTTCGTGGGCCGATGGTCCTTGGCCGTTGATCGAAACACCATCCAAAACACAGGACATTGTGAGTAGGACCTCGGTCATGTCCGATTCTACCCTTCTATTCTGGTGCCATCTGGAAGTGAACCAGAAGATGAAACCACAAAAGCAAAGTTAACAATATCAGTCCAAACATGAAGCTCTCTACATCGCCAACGAGATGGCCTTCGCCCACAACGCCATGCTTCGAGGTTTAAACTCCCTCTATCTGCAAGCCGAGCAAATAATTGAGTCGCAAGACATCGCCGATTTCCTAGTCTTCCTCCGCAGCTGGGCCGGATGGGTATCCCACCACCACACTCTGGAAGAAGAGCAAATGTTTCCTCAATTTGAAGGAGTGATAAAGAAGCCCAATTTTCTCGAAGGAAATGTTAACGAGCACCATACCTTCCAACCCATCCTGAAGCAGCTCCTCGCCTACGGGACGGAAACCAAGCCCGCTGACTACAAAGCCTCGACCGTGCGCAGCCTGATCGAGCAGATGGCGCCTAGTTTTCGCGAGCATCTGGCCAACGAAATCACCAGCCTCATGAGCATGGAGCCGTATGACGGGCCTGCTTTGCTCAAGGTTTATAAGGAGTGTGAGGCTGAGGCGGGTAAGCAGGATAAGGTGAGTCACTTCATCCACTTTATCTGGCAAGGAAGTACTTTGTTAACCAATAACAAATAACACATTTAGAATGTTATCCCGCCCATGGTTCTCGGCCTCCGTGACATAACCTTCGAGGGTGGAAACCAGTGGCCCGCTATGCCACCCTTCTCCACTCACTTTGTTCATTATCTGTTCGCGCGGAAACATGCTGGTGCTTGGCGCTTTCTGCCATCGGATACTTGGGGTAATCCGCGTCCATTGGCATTTGGTAAACCTTAGATACTGAGGAGAGATTGCGGGGGAAGGGACGGAGTTCAATGGTTCTTTTCATACAATGATCAGCGGGATCGGCAATCCTAGCCTGTCAATACGAGTCTTGGCTTTATGTATGGCCACGTAGATGATGAATGAAGCCACTTGGAGCACTACTATTGTCTGCTGTATGGGATATTAGGCCATTTGGGTGTAGACTATATGGTATGTTGAGTGGTAGCAGCTGCGGGCCAAATAAGCGAGCCGCCATTGGTAAGTTGAATGAGTAATATGATGGTTTTTATTAGCAATTTACTACTACTGTCTTCATTAGACATTGGACTTCCAGAAGGTAAACTTCTTCGGTTCTCGGTTAGGACATTAGAAGATAGTATGAAATATAATCAGCGGGGTTGAACTGAAGATAGTGATACATCTCAGAAGCCTCGTGCACCTGGCACGGCTAACGCTATGGGCACTAGACCCTGAACGGGGCTGTGGCTCGGAGAAGACCACAATTATGTCTAAATATCCGGCTGGGCGAACCTAAATTGCGTTACAAGTTCAATATCAATCAGTAATTTTCGAAACTTCTAATACCGGACTTCCCTGCAGAAATGCTGCGGCAGTGCATAGAACATCTCGACAACCTACTCCCAAAACGGCTGACACGAGAAAAGGCCTTAATGTCCGCGTAGCCGTAAGCGATGGTGTTGAGTCACTATAATGGCTGTGAGCCTTACTACTAGATGTCCTTCCGGCTTGTGCAGTCATAGAAGGGAGAAGTGTCAGATGAGCGAGATGGCTGCTGGCAGATGCGGCTCCGATATGTGATTGTACCCTGAAAACCACATATCTAGTCATGTTCGTTAAGTAGACAAGGGCTGACGAGCCGTTTACTTTCACTTTTCTCTTTTACCACACGTATCGAGTATCCCCGCACCGACTTTTGGTCATACAGTGTGACAAAAAGCCCCGTCCATACTGCAGTAAATATGACTGCCCTTGCAGAGGGAATTCAGGCCATGGTCCAACGGGACCTGATATGGATAATCCTGCCGATAGTTGCCTGCCTTATCATCGTTACCTGGATTATAAGATCGACACTGCATACTAGAAAGATTCCAGGGCCCTGGTGGGCACCATATACTCGTCTATGGCTGTTCAGAGCACTCTATTCGGAGCGATGCGCAGATATATATCTTCAGGTTAACCGACAATACGGTAAGTCGACTTGAACCTGACAGTTCATTGAGAAGAGTGAAGATTGAACTAGACCATAGGTCCCCTCGTCCGCATAGGACCAAATCATTTAATCACAAATGATCCTCTGATCTTTAGAAAGATACTTGGGGTGCAGTCAAAGTACACCCGTGGGCCATGGTTTGATGCCTTGCGACTGGATCCCCATAATGCAAATCTAATTACTGAGCGGCATCGGCAAAAGCATGATGCATTGAGAGCAAAGATGGCTCCTGGGGTTAGTTGTTCCTGCTCATGAATATTCTTTTCAGATGTGTATCCGCAAAGCTGACTCCCAAAGTACCAAGGCAAAGACATTCCACAGATGGAGCATGCCATTGACCGGAACCTCCTCACCTGGCTCGACTATATTCAGAGACACGCCGTGACAACGCAAGAACGCCACGTTGCATTCGACATGGCGCGAAGCATACAATGGCTGCTATTTGATATGGTGTGCCATTTATGTCTCGGCCATCCCCTGGGATTCATCGACCATCATGAAGACTGTTATGGATTTCAGAATGTCCTAGAAACCCGCCTGCCCATCGTGGAGAAATTTGCTATCTTCACTGAAATCAACACCTGGATCAAGATGATCTCCCACATACCGATAGTGCGTAGGGTATTACCCTCACCTAAGGATAAGGGCGGTATCGGGGCAATTATGGGGGTGAGATACTACTTCAGCTCGCGGATGTTCTGAGTTAATGATCATCGCCCTGACATGTATCGATAGGTCGCCCAGAAAACAGTCAACGCCCGCATAGCACAGGGCATTCCGCCAAAACATAACGAGACGATGCTAGATTCATGGCTTCGCAACGGCGTCGACGGATCATTAGCAGTCACAGAAGTTACAATTGCCCTGTATGTAACCCCAAATGACACCCTCCCCATACAAATTTAACCCAGGTTATCTAAATTAGTTACCAAGCATTAACTAACAAACATTCCCCAATAGCTTTGCCGGCTCTGACACCACCGCCACCTCGATCCGTGCCCTCCTTCTGCACATCATCACCAACCCCCTCGTCTACAAACGCCTAACCGACGAAATCCGCAATGCAGTCACGACAACCCCTGTGATTACCGAGCGAGAAACCAAATCCCTCCCCTACCTCCAAGCCTGCATCCTCGAAGGTCTACGCATCTTCCCACCCATCACAGCACTACGCGAACGTGTAGTTCCTCCCGGAGGCGATACCCTGAACGGGGTATACATCCCCGAAGGTACGAACATAGGGCTCAATCTCCCGGGTTTGTTACGGAACGAGGTATTTGGGCCAGATGTGGATGTGTTTCGTCCGGAGAGGTGGTTGGAAGCGACGCCGGAACAGAGACAGCGTATGGATCGGGTGCATGAGCTTATGTTTAATTGGGGGAGTACGAGATGTTTGGGGATACGGTTGGCAGTGATGATGATGGGTAAGGTGGTGGTCGAGGTGTTGAGGAGGTGGGATGTGGTGGCTTTGAGGCCACAGAGGCCGTGGAGGAGTAGGTGTCATGGGATCTTTTTGCAGAGGGATTTCGATGTTCGCGTTGTGGATGTGGTGAGGGAATCTGAGAGGTAGGGGCTTGTTGCGGGGGTACTAGAGTATTAGCCTTTGAGCTGTACTTCAGTGGAAAGTCTGGTCTCCCGGAGGGAAAGCCCCATAAAGTGAGAATTAAGAGTTACACTTTATAAATCATATCCTGTTTGTCCTGTGCTTGAGGATCGATTCGTTACTATCTAGTCTTGCGGGCGCGTAGCAAGCCCGGATTTGGGCCCAGAAGATCTACGTTTATGCTGGAATGGCGAATTGATTTGCGAGCTATATTGGCTGGTAGCTGATTCTGTACCGACATAGGCATAAATTGGGGGTATCACAAGAAGTAGGGAGAAACTGGAATTGGTTTCCGAGTATGGGGGGATTTGAAACAAAACGGACAAAGTACTATGCTAGTATGCCGTCGTAGACTTAAAGATGACCAATTATCTTCCAATTGCAGCGACTGGAATATGCTACTAGTAGTACGAGGATCAGAGATATAAAACCAGTGGTCTTACCCACAGGGCTACTACGGTGGCTGTGGACGAAGCCATGATTACATGAAATTCCGCTTAATCATTGTGAATCTTCACTTTTCTTTTTTCTTGTTCTTTGCTTTTTCAGGACAATGTTACTCGTCAAGTACCTAGTCGATCACTACCAGTACTAAAAGGTGGGGTTAAACGCGTCAGGCTGCCAGCTGTCTACAAAATACCCCTAGACGCGATTCGCCAATCCTCCACTTAACCTCGCTTTTCGCGCCCTGACTCCCACTTGGACAGACCACTCAATTGACCAATGTCGCAATCCGAGGACTTCTATCAGAAATTGAATTCGAGATCGAGGCAGATTCGTCTTCTCACATTAGAGCCTGGTAAATGGACAAGGGCTATCCAGTGCACATTGAGGCAAACCCCGTTATCCAGTGCAGGACAATATGAAACTCTCTCTTATGCCTGGGGAGACCCAGCTGTCACCAAGACCATTATTGTAGATAAGAAGCCCTTCCAAGTCACGGTAAACCTTGCATCGGCACTCCGTCATCTCCGCCGTGACACTCCTCGTACGATGTGGATTGACGCCATATGCATCAACCAAATGGATTTGGAAGAGCGCGCATCGCAAGTGAGCTTTATGCGCGATATCTACCAGCGAAGTATCTCGACAGTTATATGGCTTGGTGAGGGCGATGAACGCGTCAAGTCATCATTCAAGCTTGCTCGAAGATTTCGCCAGAAAAATCGCGAAGATCGTCCGTGGCATCCAAAGAGCATTCTGCTCCTTCACAAACTAATTGGGAACAAACATGGGTATCGAAGCTTAGAATTTCTGACTACTGAGGTGCTGATGCGACCTTGGTGGACCAGAGCATGGGTACTGCAAGAAGCCGTGGTATCGAAACGTCCAATAATTAAATTTGGACATGAGGAAATCGAGTGGTACTACTTGTGGTGGCTTGCCAGTGGCCTTGTGGGTGGCATGAACTCGCGCTTCTTGTCTGCTCCAGAATCCGCTGGAACGTTAAAGGAAGTACTTAAAATTCAGAAAATGAGAGTTGCGCTCAAGCAAAAACGCCAAATTCCGCTTGCACAGCTGGTTGCTTGGAATAGACGGCAGCGGTCTACAGATGCCAGGGATAAGATATTTAGCCTTCTGGGCCTAGTGTCGGACACACCTGTGTACTGTCTAAGACCCAATTATTCCGCGAGCAATAAGCTGGTGAATGTGTGTCTTGGCCTTGTGGAGCAATCTATCGGGGAGGGAAGTCTGAATATCATCTGTATGTGCCAGGGAAGCGAGAAGCCCAACTGGCCATCTTGGGTACCTGATTGGGATGTTCACTCAAGTCAGAACGCTGAGATTGCACACCCCTTGATAAGCTCCTTGGCTGATCAAGGCAGAACAGATATAGCTGGTTGGAACAATGGACCTTTAAGTTCTGACTACGATGCATCTCGGTCACTGGCGCCCAAGTACAACTTACTTCGGAGCCCACTGGCTTTAAGAGTAGCGGGTGTTTGTGTCGACACCATTCATCGACTGGCGGAGACTGACCATCCGGATAAACGCAAGCAATGGTGTTCAAAAAGGCCGGATCCATGGGAGAACCTCCTATTGTCGTATTTCCGATGTCCCTCCATCATCAGACAAGTTTCAAACTGGAGATATGTGGGCAAAGAAAGGAGGCCGTGGGCAAGAAATGTGCTTTTATATGCGAAGGAGACTTATCAAGATGTGCGCGCGTATGTTAACCCGGACGATGAGTTTATCTTAGAATGGTCCAGGTTGATGCATGAAGTAAAGAGATCGGGATACGAGTGTGGATACGTCAGCGGTGGCTCGTTCGCGAACGCATACTTTCGGACACTGATTACCGATGTAATGTTCACCGGTAATAGAAAAAAGGGTGTCTTTGACCCTCTATATGCTGATCTTCAAGCTGGGAGTGCTGTTGGAAGAGGCGATAAGAACACTGGATTCGAGGATACTGGCGATTGTCTTAACGGAGATGTGGGAAGAAGCTACGTATTCGCGATAACTTGCGTATCCACCATCAAGCGGGCAACCTCATATCGTCGACTGATGATCTCTTCGAAAAGATATATAGGCCTGGTACCAGCAAAGGCTCAAGAAGGAGACCTCATATGCGTTCTCTTCGGTTGTTCCGTTCCTGTTATCCTACGCAAGCAAGGGAATAACTATACCTTCATTGGGGAGAGCTATGTACATGGGATTATGGACGGCGAGGCAATCGAGATGATGCATGAGGGGCCCTTGGTGGAAGAGGAGTTTACTCTGCTATAAGAAGTTGGCATTGCATGGCGATTTGCTGTTCTATCCTCTTCATTATCACCGACCGTTTTCATAGCGAAAAAGGGTGCATGACTGAATGTTTTGGCTGCAATGTCCGCCGTTGTTTCAATAAATCGTGTTTTTTTTGGCGTCGAACTAGTCTATCTTGGAGTTTCAGTACAACAATTCATGAATTTTTGACCTGCCCGAGCCCGCTAGATTATAGCCTAGCAGCTCCCACAGGTGTTTGGCTAGTAAGGGAAGGAAGATGACCCGTAGGAAAATCTCACATTACTAGCTACTTCATACTTACTACATATTCGTTTCTTATCCGATGTTGTGAAGCCATCTCAGCTCCTATAAGTGTCCCGAACCAAGGGCATAGTCGGAATCTCTACCAATCGTCTCCAGCGTCCTTTCCGATGGCCGGAAGGCACACGTGTTTCTGACCTAGGTCGGGTCCTAGCTGAAAGTTAAGAAAAAAGAAGACGACGACGTGTCTAATCCATACTTTGAAGCCCTTGGTAATCTAATTAACACTATATCTATTCGTAACAGTAAGAGCCAGCTACTTAGTATCGACTGAATATTCTAGAACCAAAGGAGAATACTATACTATTCATTACGAGCAATATTAAATATCTGAAGAAAAGCAAGCATAGCATAGCGTGGGTATCTCGATCAATATCACAACCAGTCACCACTAATAGCATGATCCCCTCGCAGCTGTATTTGCACTATACAGATCAAACCAAAGGCATAATGATGAAACACAAAGCACAGCAATAAATACATAAGATCAGTTACTACAGCCCAAATTATATCCCCGATTCGTATCCCATGTATCCGACCGGCCTCCATTCCTGTCCCGGATATGCCGTACTTGACATGACAATTTCTGGTTCGCTGGAAGCATCACTGGCATTATCGTGATCATCTCCCCCGTCTGCCGAGGGGACAGGGAGTTCAACGGGAGTGGAGACAAGGGCTCGGGGTGGGGCGGGGCGGTGGGGATGGCTGTTTAGATTTGAGTTTGTCTGTGTACTGGTTGTGGGGCCAATGGATATTGTGCTGGTTCCGGATTCTGTTTCTTTTGTGGTGAGGGTGGGATTGGAGTCTGCTGTTGGAAGAATATTGATGCATTGGGGTTCTCGGCATAAGCTTGCGGTCTTGACCTCTGTCTCCGGGTTTGGTGTAGGGGACGGAGATGGAGAGACGCGTGATTGAGCGTCGGAGAATGAGACTTGCGCTGTCGTAGACGAGTTGTCGCGAGGTGGAAGCTCGGATGGGGACACGACTGAAGGAGATGCGACTGATTCTGGAATTGTGGATAGGGGAGAGGGTGAAACTCCGAATGAGGTCTCTCGTGTTGGCTCTGGTTTCCGCATGTGAGGTTGATCGATGGTAGTGGCAGCGATGGCAGATTCGAGTACATTGCTGGCCTCCCTCCGTGCTCTGTCTCTCTCTTCGACCGACACCACATTCTCATCATGCTCGTCAGGATCACCACCCAGTCCGGGCAGACTCAACTTCCACGGCAACTCTTGATCGCCCACTCGACTGGTCCGCGGGTTGCGTGCGAACCGCCCCAGCTCAATCGCCGGGTCAGTCGCATCAGTATTTGGTAGAGTCGTCTCCTCCGGTCGGGGCGCGCTTTCCTTGGGACTGCGAGATCGGAGGTGCAGTTCCTGCACGTACGTGCGGGAGGTGGTTCGACCGCGCTCTGGAGAACCATTAGTGGTAGTGTGACTTGGTTCATATACAGTTTTGTTGCTATAGAGGTAGTCGTCTGAAATGGATGAAGTATTTGGAAGAGTAGGAGTAGAAGCGTGCGGGACGAAGATGGCTTGGTTCTGGGCCTGGCGGAAGGAATCTGGGGTGGGGATGCGGGGAAGACTCGGCGGCAGATGGGAAAGACTGTCGCTGGCATTGGGGAGGGCGTGATCGAGGGAATAGAAGCGGGTATGACTGGATGTGTGGTTTATTGGACGCGATGGGGAGGCCGTCGTGGAGCGCTGGATGGGGGTTTCAGGTCTGGAAGCTTGGTTGGATTGCCTTGATTTGGGTTGGTGGGGACGAAGGTTGGTGCGGAAGAGGCCCTGGATCACGTTCAGTTAACCTTCAAAACTTTCATCCACTCAATAAAGACAGCGACATACTGTCAATCGATCCAGAAGCGGCGGCTTCTGGTCCGACGATGGGCTGCTGGGACCCAAGGAGATGCGACGAATGTCCCGGATTTTGTCGCCGTATTTCATCTTCAGGGCGGCCAGGCGCGCGTGCGGGGTGGAATCCTGCGATCGGGAATTCGCTCCTGAGGTCGCATTCCGACTCGACGGTCGGCTCGGTCTCAGCGACGACATGCTGCTTACTCGCAAGTGACCCGAAGGTGGATGACGACCGTTGAGCGGACGCAGCAAAGACCGATCATTGCCGGTCGCATCCATCTCCGTGTCGGGGTGGTGGCCGACGATGGAGGGCAGAGAGAGACTGGACGAGGCAAGAGGCGCTGCGAGGGCGACAGCCGTAAGTTCAGCCGATTCACTTCCCGGGCGAGCGAGGCACTCACCGTTAAGCGCCAGGGCGAAGGGAGGATCAGCAACCGCATCCTGAGTGCCCAATGACGAGATTGATGGTTGGACTGACCCCGGCCGAGGTTGAACAAAGGCTGCAGGGGGCAACGCAGCATCGCCTCCAACACTGGCTTGGTCGCTATCGCTCACGCCATCCAATTGGCCCGAGACGCTTTGTCCGGCCTGACCGGGCTGACCAGGGGTCGCCAGTGGCGCGTCATTGAGGGCTAGTTGGATCCGGCTAGTCCCGCTGTCATCGAGTCTCTCCTGTTGCTGTTCGTGCGCATCGTTAGCGACGCTCTTTCGAGGATCACTAGCGGGTGCCGGTTTGCGAGACGGGAAAGACTCCCGGGCTACAGCTCCCAAGTGAATGGATGCCCTACGGCGATCCTCGCCAATGGCTACTGCGTTGCTATCAGAACCGGGTACTTCCTTCCGCTTCACCCCCCAGCTCAGCCGATGATGTCCGGCCGGTCGAAAAGCGCCGGCGACCGGGAGACTTCCAAAGTGGACGCTATGGCGCTGGTGGTTGGGCCTTGTTCCTGCAGGATCCAGGTCGGCTGCTTGCTGGAGCTCCGACAGGGGCACCGGTCGACGATAGCCGCGCGAGGACTGAAATCCCTACATATCCCCGCATTAGAGGCGATAAGACGCAGCAAAATAAATCCGAAAAGGAGGAGTGAAGACATCATTCATGTCACATTCTGAGGCACTGAGATCTGACCAATTACAGCGTGGTATCAAGCAACATAATCACACAGGCAAGAAACAAAAAAAGAACAGGCCGAGCGTGCCGCTCCCTGGCCAGACCGCCCATCATTATCAGTAAAGAGATTAAGAATCTACCTTGTCGTTCCCTCCGCCCTTCAACTTACTCCGGCTGCGAGCAAAGAATCCTTTGGCGGCCTCGCCTGCGCGCCCTCCCAAAACCCCTGCCGTATGCAGCAACTCTTTGCCGCGTTGCTCTACTTGCTGTTTGTTCATCATTGCCCCCAATGGCGCCGAGGGCCGTCGCGCGTGCCCCGAGCCGGATGGAGATAGATCAGCTTTACCAAGGGCAGCCAATTTCGGGAACTTGCCTCGAGAGACGGGCGCCTTGGCACCAGTGGTCGTCAGTTTCGTGCTCTTCTCAACCACATCATTGTGTTCGGGGTGTGTCTGCACTGTGACAGAAATCCAATGGTTAAGACCCGTATCAATGGTCCCAAACTTCGCTCGGGTGTCGTTGAAAGCCCGAACGCGTTCCTCCGACGTCTTCATTGCCAAGATTTCCCGGAAACCAAGCAGTGTCGGCTCGACAGTCGCTGGGGTCGTGAACATGACGCGCGACGACCGCCGGTCGGAGCCTGTCTGGGGTCCCTCGTCGGCATGAGAGTCGGGAATGACTTCTGCATTGTAGACTTCAGGCAGGTATTGCCCATCGGAGATGATGCTTCGATCGTCCGGTACGGGAGGCACGATAGTTAGCTTCGGCTTCTCCGTAGACGGTGGCTCCTTGGCTTCACTTTCCTCAACGACGGGCTCAGGATTGGGGGCTATCTCTGTCAGCTGGGCGCGATCCTCGGTGGGTGGGAATTGCCCAGGCATGGGCACGGGCGGGGATTGTACACCCGTCTCGGGAGCAGGCTCCCCAGATGACGAGGATTCCCATGAAAATCGTCTAGTCAGCTTCGGCTTCGGGGCTGAAGCGGAAGTTGTTGGGGCAGCAATGAGAGGAGTTGGCTGTGCGGGCGTATCCTGCAGGGCAGCTGAGGGACTGTCGTAGCCAGGAAGTTGGTCACCCTCGCGAGAAGTGGGCAAGGCCTCCTTCGTCCAATAACGCTCGTATTCATCCAGCATGTGACTGCTGTCCTGTTGCGGTGCTTCCAGCCGGCGCTCCTCTTCATGGTCTGGATCTTCCGATGGGGTATTTTCCCGGCTCAAAGAACGAATGATTTCCTTCCGCAGCCGGTCGCTCTCTGTATCCTGGGGCGAGTTGTCTGTACTGAAGGATGGAATGATGACCGGGACACCATCCCCCGTGGTAATCGTAGGCTCAGGGGGAGGATGGCTGCCACCAACGCTAAGCGGTGCGGGCAGACCCTCGTCAGGCTGTGGTAGTTGCACCGTTGCTTTCTGCGGGCTTGCGATGATGTTTTGGGGTGAGTCTGGCGTGTTTGAGGACATTTCCCCTACCGCAGACGGCGCAGTTCCTTCGACGCTAGCAATAACCGGTGTTCTAGACGGGCTATTGTTCGGGCTAGGAAGGCTCAAATCTCGACGGTGGCCAGGCTTGAACACCATGTTTCCCGGTTCTTCTTTGGGTGTCGAGATGGTTTCGGGTTCTTCTATAATCGTAGGAGTCTTGGTCTCGCTCGGGTTGTGCTGGGGTATAATTGGGCTAATCACCGAGGTGCTATCGCTGTTAGAGCGAGCAATGCTGTCCACCGTGGTGCTCGG